AGGTGATTTTATTTACTTGTTTTTAGAGTCAAAGTGGCTGTGTTGTCTGAAAAAATAATAGTAAGTTCAGCCTCATCCTAAGACAAGACTGATTTATGCAGTCTCCATCAGCTAATTTTGAACCCTTTATTCAGCTGTATTTGGCAAAACAAATGCAAGTTCAGTGAGAGAAAAGAGAGAGGCTGGCTGACTAAAGTACCTTTTGTGAGATCAAAGGCATCAGCTTTAGATGTCTGAAATTAAACAAGAATTTTGTTAGAGCTAAATCCCTGGACTATGTGGAAAAATCAACCTTTAACTCAGCTGGTAAAAACTGGAAATACATTGTAGGCTCTCATATCAGTCTCTTTTTTTCCAGCAGCAGCACTTCTTTGATGATGAGGACAGAACAGTTCCAAGCACACCAACTCTTGTAGTTCCACATCGTACAGATGGATTTGCAGAAGCCATTCAGTAAGTAAATGTGAAAAGAAAAAAGGAATAAAAGGCTTTTCTCTATTGTTTATTCTATTCTTTCTATTTTTCAGTGAAATGAAATGAAATTTAGTTTAAATGAACTTGAGATTGGAGTAACATGCTAGGTAGTAGGATCGATAACTGCATGTGCAGATAAGTAACTGTTGTTTGAATTGTGTCATATAACTGATCATCAAGTTAGGAAGTAAATACTCTCCAGTGTATTGTAACCTGGTGTTTTAAGAAGAAATTAAACAAACGAAGTTATATCCCATGTCCTCCCTTGTTCTTCCTCCCTCCCCATTAATATTGCCAATGAAAGGAGGGAAAGTTACCTCCATTTTTGCTTTTGGGATGTTCTGGACATGTCAGCAATCCACTTAAAATTGTGAGAGTTTATAGAATGGATAAGTAAAGAATATTCTCTTCAGGACTGTTGTACTGATTTTGAATGCATTCCTAATAATTTGAGAAGCTAATTGCTGTTTATTTAGCAGTAGATCACTGATTTTTATGGTCAGTATTAGCTCATTTTGTCTCATGCATGATTTGTTCTCTTGGTCAGAAAGTTCTTCCCCCCTGCCCCAATCTTTGGGGAAACTGCAGAATTCCTTAAGTCTGTGTTTTGCCAGTTCCCCCCAGGTAGCTGGAGTTCCTCGGTTCAGATTTGGGCCCCCTGAAGATATGCCACAAACCAGCTCCAGTCACTCTGATCTTGGGCAGCTGGCATCACAAGGAGGTAAAGTTCTCTTTTCCATGGGTCTTTGAGTGAAAAAGAGCGAATTCAGTCAACAAAGTGTTGAAGTGTGGAAACCTGCAACTCTTAAATAATTGTCAGCAGAGAGAGAATAACAGAGTGAGAAGGTGTTCTCTTCAAGCTGCTACATTTCTAGTTGTGTTAGGGTTTTAAAACTGAATGAAATATTGAAGGTTTTTAACTTCAATTTTACCATTGGTTGTAGCTTCCTTGTAGTGAAACAACAGGGGAAAACAGCAAATGCAAAAAAATCTTTGGGATATATCCTTTTCTGCTCCGAGATGGCCAGGCTGTTGTGTTGATCTGAATCTGTCCCTTTTCCTGGCATCCCTATTGGCATGGAACACAAGCTGTTCTCTGAAGAAAACTCACAGTAAAATAATGGCATAAGGCAAGGAGGAAAATTTAAAAAAACAAGCAGTAATATTTTGATCAAGGTTTTACCTTACAGTAAATTATGATCAGCTCTGACAGTAAGTCAAAACGAAAGAACAAAATACAAGTGACTGGATTTTATCAAGTGTCCAGAGGGAAGACATCAGTTAATCATTTATAAGCTGTTTATTTGGATAGATTGTCACTGGAACTTTGTGTTGCAGGTTTAGGGATGTATGAAACCCCACTATTCCTTGCCCACGAGGAGGAATCGGGGGGTCGTAGTGTCCCCACAACACCGTTACAAGTGGCAGCACCGGGTAAGTGGCAGAGGTTTGCAGGGAATGATTCCCCACGGTTGGTGCAGTGCTGCCTCTCCTCAGGAGCGCCTGCCAGCCTGTGTCTGAGCTTCCTGTGCTGCCACAGGGCTCTGTGGGCAGGGCCTGAGGGTGTGTGTGCTCCCTAGTGACAGTGTTCACCGAGAGTGCCTCAGCCGACGCCTCGGAGCACGCGTCCCAGTCCGTGCCCATGGTCACCACCTCCACCGGCAGCCTGTCCACCACCACCGAGCCCGGCGCCGGCGATGACGCCGACGAGGTCTTCGCAGAGGCAGAGTCTGAAGGGTAAAGCACCACTGCTCTGGTTCACTAGCGCTTCTGACACCTTCATTGTCACCCAGGGGCAGCTCAGACAGCATTTTGTAATGCTATGAAGCGGGACAGTTCATCCAAAACCAATGGTTTTCTGCTGATCTCCTTAGGAGTTAAAATTAATATACAAGTCACCAAAAAAAAATTGTATTTTTTAAGAACACAGAGGACTGTGCAGTAGTCAAATACTGATGTTAAAGGCACAGGTTGAAGGATCAGTTTGTGGAATAAAGACTAAGGCAGAAAATCACTCATGCAAAACACATATATATGCTTAAGTCACCCAGTTAAGACAGAGCTTGTACAAAAGATGAAGCACGGGGCTGGAACAAGCAATTTTTACTAAATTTTGTAGAAAAATGATTTTGTCTTTTGCTTTAAAACTTCAACTTTTAATATTTATAATAATTGCTATATTTTGTATTGTGATGAAGTAAAGATCTAAAAGGGGACAGTTTATGACTTTATGTTATATTTTACTTTTGATTTTCACTGAATCTTTGGGTTCCAAGACAGGGTTTTTTTTCCAGACCTTTTTGAAGCTATGCAAATACATGGTTCTCCTCCCCCTCCTTCCCTTCTAGCATTACTTCAGAAGCAGGTCTAGAAATCGATAGCCAGCAAGAAGAAGAATCTGTTCAAGCATCTGATGAGTCAGATCTTCCTTCAACTAGTCAAGATCCTCCTTCAAGTTCATCTGCAGGTACAGGATAATTCCAAAAACAGTTCGTACCTTTTCATTAAGCGTAGGAGTTCCTTTGTCCAGCATCATGGCTGGTAGCCAGGATACACAAAATAAGATAAAACTCTTAGAATCACATACTTATAGAATGGTTTCAGGAAGAAAGGATCTTAAAGCCCACCCAGTCCCACCCCTGCCATGTGCAGGGACACCATCGACTAGCTCGGGTTCTTTCAAGCTTTGTCCAGCCTGGCCTTGGACACTTCCAAGGATCCAGGGGCAGCCACAGCTTCTCTGGACACCCTGTGCCAGGACGTCCCTACCATCACAGAGAAACAATTCTTTCCCAGTACCCCATCTGACCCTGCCCTCTGGCAGTGGGAAGCCATTACCCCTTGTCCTGTCCTTGCAGGCCATTGTCCCAAGTCCCTCTCCAGCTCTCCTGGAGCCCCTTTAGTCACTGGAAGGGGCTCTAAGGTCAACCCGGATTCTCTTAGAGCAAGATCATATTTTGATGCTTATAAATTCTTTGATACTTTGGCAAAGCATTTTTCCTTGGACTGCAGTAACTGGAGTAAGCAAAATAAGAATAACACTTCAGGGAGCAAACATTACTGCCACTTTAGTGATTTATCCACCAAAGTGATTTATATTTGATACCAGCTTTAAAAATATTTTAAATTAAATTCTGAAACAACAGTAAGTTAATCTCTGAGTTATCAGTTAATCCCCTTGTATAGGCAGCAAAAGAAGTCCCAGACTTACTTGTTTTGAAACTTTTATTTATATTAGAGGAGAGGTGAATTAAATAAGGAGGCACCTTCATAATTCTAAAGTAAAGAAAGCATAACACGTATCAAAACATGTAAAGACCAAGAGTGAGAACCTGGCAGGCACAGTCACCCTTTCTGCTCTGCCTCCACAGACACGAGCAGCACCCAGCCCAAGTCCCTGCGCCGTGTCCGCCTGCAGCCCCCGACGCTGAGGACAGGCGTGCGTGGCCGGCAGTTCAACAGGCAGAGGGGTAAGTGCTCCTGGCTGCTGCAAACACAGCTCCAACCCTTTCCTCCCGTGGGCACCACGGCTGAAGTTTTACAGGCTGGCCTTGCTGGCAGACAGGGAGTGACACAGCTGCCCCACCCTCGAGTTTGGCATGTGACCCTAAGAGCTCTAGTTCGGGTTTAGTGTGTTAGGCTGGGCAGGTTTCAGACAGGCAATCTTCCTTCTACAGTGGCACCTAGCTCTTATCAGTAGAGAGAAAGTAAAGAGGATTAGATGTTACTCTTCAAAGTTTTAAAATAAGGTTTCAAAACTCCTGTTAGGGTAGCAGTTTAGAAATTTCTGGTTTTAGCATTAGAGCAATTTCCATTTGGTATATTAAGGGTTCCAGTTATATCAATGTGTACTCATTGAAAAAAAAGCTTTATTGGAAGTATTACAGGTTTTTCAGTGCAATAGAGTTAAATCATGACAAGAAATTATTTTTGCAACTTCTGCAACTTAGATGGATTTTATTCTGTTTTGCATTATTTTAACATTGTAGAAGACTATATTAGCATTGAAATGTAGATTAACTGGTATTTTAAGTGGAAAAAAGGAGGTGGGACTAGGATAGATTTTCTTCCATCTGTTACCACTTTTTTAATAACAAAAAGAAAGGGCTAACTGATTTTAGGTGAGGTAAGAATACTCTGCTCATTGGTTTGGCTCAGGATCACAAGTCACCCCCAGCTTTTTGCATGACACGGGACATGTAGGTGTGTTACTAGGCTTTAGCAGAGAGAGGGGATCTTGAATTGTATCAGAAAGGAACCACTCCACTGCCCTGACAATTGCTTAGGGAAGGATGAAGTATCACCTGTGCAATGGTTGATAAAAAGGGTAAGGAGGGTTTATACTAACGCACTTGTTTTCTTTCCCTGCACAGGTGTAACTCATGCCATGGGAGGCAGAGGAGGCCTGAACAGAGGAAACATTAGTTAAATGAAATGTAAAGTATTTTCAGCTGTGTATACAAAGTGCCAGTTTGCCTGTGGTTGCTTAGTGTAATGAAGCCAGAGCTTGAAGCAGCATTTCATACTTAGAGGTGTGTGCACACATTTCAGTGTCTTTTATTAATAAAATTAGAAAAAAAGTTGACATTCAAATGGTGTCTTGTTTTAAACTCCTCTGCTGTGCATCACTTGCTGGGACAGTTGTACCAGTCTTTGGATACAGTCTTTCCTGTGAGAGCAGTAACAGGTCGTGCTATTCTTTTGCCAATATCCAAACTGTAGTACCGATCTGAAAGGAAGAGAAGTCAGGATTAAATTCCAGAAACTACATTTAATACATAGGAAGAATTCACAAATTCAAGCCTGCATTTTAATGTCACTTAGAACTGAATAAGATTTTCCATTCTATGTGCATATAGGGAGCTGAGAGGCTCCAACAATAAATTTCTCTCTTGAGCTTTATTTTTCAGGTGTCCTTGGTTGCAGTAAGTTTTACAGCTCTGCTAATAATTAAATATGTCCCAGGAGCAAGGAAGAATATTCTTATATTGCTTGAACACAGAAATAGTCTTAAGAATTTGAAAATCAAACAAACTGCATCCACAACAATCCTGCACTCTAGTAGTAGAGAAGTGGGAAGTCTATGGTCCCTGAGTATGAATGAGCCTGTGAGGCTGATTCCTCCAAGTTGAGGAATTGGATCTTACTGTCAGGGACTTGAATAGTCTGTATTTGGGAATGGCTTGTTTTAGAGCTTTTTTTTTTTTTTGAATGCAGAAAATTTTGAGGAATGCTTATACAGGATCCTGGCTGGGGGAACAAGTCTACATAATCTAGGATCGTAAACAAATTTTTGAGCTAAGTCAAGTGGTTCATCTCCCTCCTTTTGTGTTTTGTCAGAAACATAGTCCCATAGAAGCCATTGAAAATCTTGCTGTGTAGCAATCCAAAGATTTCAGTCTATCATTAACATAATCCTTCATTTAGTGCAAGGTTTGTCACTTTACAAGGCTGAACTCCCTGGCAATGCATTCCTCAATTGGCTGCTTTGAACCTCTCCATTTCATTGCTGCACGTTGTCCTGTAACTACTGATTTTTAATAGAAACATCTCTTGATTATGGGCAACATTTTAATTGTCAGGACTTTTTAGTAGTGCTGAAAGTAGTACCACAAGTGATAACAGGAGATTCTTTCTTTACCCCCTTCCCCATGTCTTTTGAGGTCTATAGTGATGTGCTTTAGTTTTTACTTACTGTAAGAGAAGGCATAGTAATCGTAGCCATCGGGCTTGTTCTGGTTGGGCACAGAGAGAGTTGAGTGGATAACTTTGGGGAGCCCTCTCCAGTACGACTGCATTTGGATTTCCTTGCGCAGAACACCTGCGAGCAAAAGGAACCCTCCGTGAGGAGCTGTGGCACTGCTGCAGCTCTCACAGGGCTGTGTCACCTACAGCCATTAAAACCTCCCAAACACAATGTTGTGTCAGAAACTGCAGAGAGGTGAAAGCATCCGTGTAAGAGACCCTTAGTGCCCACATTACCAGAGGGGTGGACGTTGATCCTGACGGTGCGGACGACGGTCGGCATTTGCACAGCACGCTGGAAGCGCCGCCGGATCACCACTCTGGGGACAAAGGCTGGGTATCGGATGGTCACCCGGGCTCTTCTTTGACACTTCTTGGCTGGTTCTTGTCTGTACACGTACTGCTGCATGTTCCCATCTAAAACACACATTTGTTTTGTTAGTTTAAAAAAAAAATAAATCAACCCCCCCCAAAAAAAGCACCCAACCACCAGCTTGATCAGGTATGAAAATGTCGTTATATTACACAGAGGAAATCAATAACAACATTCTTGTGGTGGCAGTACAGCATTCATGTAGGATAAGGAAATTACTTTAAAATAGGAAATCAGAAATAGTTGGAAATTTCCGCACAGAGATATGAACTAGCAATATTAAAGCCTTCCCTTCGCTAATTAACTTGAGACTAAAATAGCTTTATCACCAGATAAAATTCATTTCAATGTATAGTCACTACAGTACTGCATTCCTGGATTCTCACCCTTGCAGACCTGATTTTAAATGCACTGAAAGACCTCCAAGTACTAATACAAAGTTTTTAAAGCTTCAGGCCATTTTTGAGCACCTAGAACACTGGCATCATTTGTGTTTCTCTGTTTGAAAGAAAGAGGTATTGAGTCAAGAAAAATAGTGTTTTATTCCTGCCTAAGGCAACTCAAGCACCTTTTGATGTTTCCTGAACTTCAGGAATACAAGACTTACCTCTTTTGATAAAATAAACAGATTCTGGTCTGTTGTTGTATCTTGCCACAGGGAGGGTTGCTACTATTCTCCCACTTAATCCTGCAAATCCAGTTGCAAGAGGTTTGGGATAGCCTTTATCCATAACACCGTTAGTGAAGCGCCAGTACAGGGGACCCTGAGCATTTAAGGGGAAAAAAAAATGAACTTTAGAGGAAGTTAATTCCTGGTTATTGAACTGCAAACAAACATGAAGAATAATCCATAAATAAGCACTAGCACTTTGATAGCTACGTTGTAAAACTGACTGGAATCACTCCTACATCCATTACCGATAGGATAAAGCTACTACACTTTCATTAAGTACCTCCTGCAGCTCTTTAACCTTTGAGTAAGGCTAGAGCATCTTAGAAGCTAATTTTTAGCAGGGGTTTCCTTTCTAAATCTCTTAAATTTTCATAGCTGTAACAAGCAGCTTGAATTCCAGGACCGAGTGATTTATTGGGAAATAACTATATAACAGCTTTAATAAGGCATGGGCATTTCATTAGCATTTTATTTTAGGTTGGGAAACATACTAGGAATAAGTTTAGGCAACATTTTCCCCCAATATCCAATTTAAACCTCCCCTAGTGTAACCTGAGGCCCTTCCCTCTCATCCTGTTGCTATTCCCAGGGAGCAGAGCCCGAATTCCCCCGGCTGCACCCTCCTACCAGAGAACTGTGCAGAGCTAAAGGATCTCCCCCTGAGCCTCCTTTCCTCCAGGATGAGCCTCCCCAGCTGCTCCCCATCAGCCTCGCCCCATCCCTCCGGCCGGGACTGCTCCCACCTTGATGAAGAAGGTTTTCCCATCGCAGTTGCACCTGGAGAAGACGGAGTCGATGGGCGAGGGGATGCCCCAGCCGTCGCTGATCCGGCGGGGGTTGGTGGTCGGCGGGGTCCGGCCGTTCAGCAGCCAGTAATAGTGACCTGGGAGGACAGGAGTGAGGGGCGCCGGGGACAGCGGGGAAACAGCACACCCTGCCCCGGGGACAGCGAGGGGACAGCGCGTCCTGCCCCGGGGACAGCGCGTCCTGCCCCGGGGACGTGGCTGATCCGGCCCAGGGATGAGGGATTCGGGGGAGCGGGCTCTGGGCTCGGGAGAGTTTCGTGAGAGAAGAGGGGCACCAGGGCGAGTGAGGGAGGAAAAAAAGGAGGAAGAGGGACGGGGCAGGTGAAGGAGGAGGTGACGGTGAAGGATTGGGGCCGGGAGTGGTGAGGAAGGAGCTCCGGCGCTATGCGGGAGAAGGAGGAGGGCTGTGGCCAGGGCCGGAGCCAGAGCTGGGGCAGGTGAAGGAGGAGCGGGGCCGTGCCGGGGCAGGTAGAGAATGTTGGGAGCAGTCTCACCTCGGAAGACGGCCAGGGTGCCATTGGGCAGGGCTACCATGCCGTCCGCTGGCTTGCCGCTGCACAGGTCCTTCTCGTCGTTCTTGCTCTCTGTAAAACACAGCCAGCTGGGTTTGATTAAGGTTTAAGAACGGCCTTAGCTTTCCCCCTCGGCCCCGCTGGTGCGCCAGGGATTAATTCCTCGTTGGGGATGTGTTCTCAGGAAGTTCGGCTCTGGTGCTGTGGCCCCAGCAGTGCCGAGTGACCAGGAGTGGGTGTCTTTGCTTATTGCCACCTAAGTATCTGTAATTCAGGATAACACCTCATATGCTACATCCCTCATGGACTTGCTCCATGCGCTAGGATTTTATTATTTCTTTAAGCTGCTTTAGTGGCTTCTCTTCCCTCTTATTATTTCTTTTGTTTTTAAAAAAGTATTTAGTTAATACTTTCAGTTATATATATATATGCATTAAATATAAAGGAAGGATGAATCTCTTTTATACTGCAATTCAAGTATTTTGCATCTAAATCCCTAATTTTTTCCCCCAAAATATCTTTCAGTGTATGACTGAAAAATTGCCCAAGAACCTGCAGGCTATGTCTGACTAAAATAAAGAGAGGGCATGAAAAAGGCTGTGGTAAAAAGCACAGAGGCAAGAGACTTCTTGTCTCCTTTATGTGACATTTTTAGTAGGTGGCTAGAAAACACTAGGTTAGGTACCATTAGCGAGAATGGATATGCAGCATGCCGTCTAGCAATTTTTCCATGAGATTTAGAACTTTGCCATCTTTTTACTTTTACTTTTTGTCTGTTTGCATCTTCTACAATCGCAAACAGGAGGAGGAGAAACTTATAGCACACAATTTTCACTAGGACCAAGTACTGAAACCAATTAATTTAGATCATGTTCTAAACTGGATTTAAGTAGCTCCACAGCTGAGAAGTGAGGTTCCAGTATTCAGGACACTGGCAGCTGTGCTGCTGTGGTTGTGGCTGCCCAGGGACACTGCCATGTTCCCTTGAGTCACTGATGCTTTTGTACCTAAGGAATGCACTTACCGTGTGTTTCTCCAGGGAACATTGGCAGGTCCTCAACTTGTATTAGAGGTTTGTTTATCTCTGGCTCTTCTTTCTCTGGCAGAGTTTCAGGTTCAGTTGGGTGAGGTTCTTCGGTGACCTCCTGGAAATGTATTGTTGGCTTGGATGTCCCATTAGACACAAGATACATTTCTTCTATTGTGTCTTTTTTATCCCTTGTGGTGGTTTCTTTGGTTACTGTAGTTACATCTTCTTTGGCAATACCAGGGGCCTTTTCAGTGACATCTTCCATTTCTTTTTCAGGTATGGTGTCCATTTCTTTGATGGTTGTTACCTCTTTTTTACCAGCTGTTGTCATCTCCACAATAACACAAGCAGCACCTGGGCTCTCTTTGTCTGCTGCTGGCCCAGCCTGCTCAGTGTCTGTAGTTGTCTCTTTTTCATTTGTTGTTACAGCCTCATTGGGTTGAGGAGTTGAATCTTTGATGGTTGTTACCAGCACAGTGGGATTGGGCAAGGGAGCTGTGGCTGCTGTTGTTGCAGTCTTGGTGTCTGTAAAAGTTGATTCTGATTCAGCTGCTGCAGTGACAGGTTGCTCGGCCATAGGAGAAGTGTTTGGAATGTCATCCATACCTTTAGGAGAATCACCTGGTTTAGCTGTTGTCACCATAGCTACAGTAACTGCGTCTTTCCCAGTTGCAGCTGTGAAAATGTCTTTAAGCAGAGTAGTCTTGTCTTTCTTGGGTGTTGTTGTCTCCTTGTTCTCGATTGTGGTATCTGAAAGCATCGTGCCTGCCTCAAGTGTGGAGGAGTCCCCAACTGTTGTGGTTGCAGCATTGCCTGGAGAAGCCGTGGCTTTACTGGCAGAGGTGTTGGCCTCAGGGGTTGCAGGGGTGGTTGGAGAGTCAGCATCCTCTTCTTTAGGGGTGGTGGGAGAGTCTGCCTTGGTTGTAGGTTCATCTGGGGTTGTCTCTTCAGGATTGGGGGTGGTGGGAGAGTCTGCCTTTATTGTTGTCAACTCTGGGGTTGTTGGCTCCTCTGGTGCTGGGGTTGTCTCCTCTGGTTTAGGAGTTGTGGGCTCCTCTGGGGTTGTCTCCTCTGGTGCAGGGGTTGTGGGCTCTTCTGGGGTTGTCTCCTCTGGTGCGGGAGTTGTGGGCTCCTCTGGGGTTGTCTCTTCTGGTTTAGGGGTTGTTGGTTCCTCTGGGGTTGTTTCTTCAGGTTTAGGGGTGATGGGAGAGTCTGCCTTGGTGGTTGGCTCCTCTGGGGTTGTCTCCCCTGGTTTCGGAGTTGTCAGCTCCTCTGGGGTTGTCTCCTCAGGTTTAGAGGTTGTCACCTCCTCTGGTGCAGGGGTTGTCTCCTCAAGTTTAGGGGTTGTCTCCTCAGGTTTAGGGGTTGTGGGCTCCTCTGGGGTTGTGGACTCCTCTGGTGCGGGGGTTGTCAGTTCCTCTGGGGTTGTCTCCTCAGGTTTAGGGGTTGTCACCTCCTCTGTGGTTGTCTCCTCTGGTGCGGGGGTTGTGGGCTCCTCTGGGGTTGTCTCCTCTGGTTTAGGAGTTGTTGGCTCCTCTGGGGTTGTCTCCTCTGGTTTAGGGGTTGTCTCCTCTGGTGCAGGGGTTGTTGGCACCTCTGGGGTTGTCTCCTCTGGTGCGGGGGTTGTCTCCTCTGGTGCGGGGGTTGTGGGCTCCGCTGGGGTTGTCTCCTCTGGTTTAGGAGTTGTAGGCTCCTCTGGGGTTGTCTCCTCTGGTGCGGGGGTTGTGGGCTCCTCTGGGGTTGTCTCCTCTGGTGCGGGGGTTGTCTCTTCTGGTGCGGGGGTTGTGGGCTCTTCTGGGGTTGTCTCCTCTGGTGCAGGGGTTGTGGGCTCCTCTGGTTTAGGAGTTGTGGGCTCCTCTGGGGTTGTCTCCTCTGGTGCGGGGGTTGTCACCGCTGGTGCGGGGGTTGTGGGCTCCGCGGGGGTTGTGGGTTCTTCTGGGGTTGTCTCCTCTGGTGCGGGGGTTGTCTCCTCTGGT